CTCCCACTGAAAGCCCCCCCCACAGTTAACCGGAAAAAGGATACCTTGTCTTTGCACACCATCCCAAATTGTATCTATGAATTCACGTGCACTTGCGGATACAAGTACATTGGGCGTACGCAAAGGCACTTGGCGACCAGAGTCATGGAACATTTGCCTAATTGGCTTTTTAAACCTGAAAACAAAGTACCACGGTCCTCCTTTACAAAATATCTGCTAGAGAGTGGTCACTCTGTTGACCTCAAAACAGATTTCCGGGTTCTTGTTCGAGCATGAACAAATCGGACCCTGCTCTACATGGAAGCAATTTATATACGGCGGGAGAAACCCGAGCTATGTGAGCAGTCAGCTCATGTGGTTAATCTCCAACTGCTCTACTAATCGCATGCCTACATTTAAGCAAGCTTTGATTTTTGTTAATTCCTCTCTTTACTTCTCCTTCCTGTATCCCAAGCTTAAAGATAAAATTATTATTGACTATTTGCCGCATTGATAAATGAAATTGCTGTTATATATTGATTCGGTTTAAATTCTAACTGCCGTGTTCTCTCTTTGTTATCTAATTCATACAAAGACAGGATGCAGTTGAAAAGCTGTCCCGAAATTTGTTTGTACAAATAAATCCTGCTGTGTGCGCTTGTTTTAAATGCGTACGTGGGAAGCAATGCCTTAAATTCATAGATTACAATCGGTACGCACTAGCAAAAAACTCTGCGGCACTGTGGTAAGGACGACATTCTTCTCAAAGGGTGCAACCACAGCTGACCGTAGAGAATTTCCATAGTGGTGTGAACAATAACAAGGAATCCAAATCCCTGCAGCTTACTTGAATGTGATCGGAAGGGTGGCCGAACTGGACGCCGTGCCCAGAGCCATGAAGAAGGCCTGGAAAAGTCCCTTGAAGTAGACGAATGGGTTTTTGCGACAAACCAGGAAGTAGATCCCCATGAGAGTGACGAAGAGATGGAGGAACAGTCCACTGATCACAGTCAGCATGTAAAGTCCGAGACCCGCCGCCGTTCCAGCCAGATCCTGCAGTCCGAGGATTTTTCCGATGATGAGGAAGACGATACCGACGGGAGCATACCTGACAGAGAGGAGGAGTGTCTTTAAGTTAACCACCTTAAAGGGCTAGCTATGATCCAAGTAATAAAATAAACTTGAAGAATACAGTGGAGCTCTTCGGGTGACGAGCAGCCCCCACCTACGAGCATTTCAGGTAAC